GCTAACCAACTTTTATTTTCAAGTCCTAGCTGGTCTTAATGAATAAACAATGGAGCTGGAGCACGAGGAAGAAGAAAATAAAAATGCAGATGGAGGTGTCAAATACCTCGATAAATATATCGAATTAGTGATTTACCAAAATTTTCTTTTAAACTCAGGTGAGATAAAACTCATAAGTACATTATATCTTCCTTGTTGATTATTTTTTTTAATCTTTAAAATAATTACAAATCTGATTAGCTTGCCTTGTATATGCAGTCTCCTCGTTGGTTGGCAAGAATAAGAGGCAAACTTTGCAGATCAATAGAGAATAAGAAGCAACCAGAGACATCACGTTGAATTGGCTGCAGGAAGTAGAGCTTGTTTTTCATGGCTAATGATGGGAACAATCTTTTAATACAATTTTTTTAGAGTAAAAATAGTCGATCATTGAATGATATGTAAAATTATTTTTAAAAATTAAAAAAATCAATCATTAAATGACATGTATAACTATATGAAAAAGTTATAAAAAAAAATAGTATTTCAATTTCCATTCATGTTGAAGTGTATTTTATAATTAAGTTAGTAAAAAGGAATATATCCAAATTTTTATTTTATTTATTTATTTATTTTGGATAAAAAGTGAATTTTATTTATCTAGTAACTGTATATATACAAGCAAGCAGCAATTTGTTGCTGCTACAAAATAAAATGCAGAAACTATTTAATCTATACTATCCTTGCACAACAGCTTCAATCCCCCAATTATTTATTTATTTATGGACTTTTCATCTCCAAAATAAGATTGTGATAAAAGTACAGACCTCACTCTAAGCTGAACTTACGAGTTGTTTTCCAAAGAAATTTTATCATCATCGTCTCCACTTGAATCCATCAAAAAATTAATAACTTAGATTAGAACTTACTACTAATTTAACAAAATTTAAAGTCAAGTTCACAAATTCTTAAAACTTTTAGTCTAAATTATTATTAATAATTAATTTTTATACTTATATACAACTCATAATTATACTGTTCTTCTGATATGGGATTGGTGCATAAAATGAATAAAATTAAGAACAATCATACACATGTATCATACTCAAAGAATCAGAGAATGGTTTGATTCACTCATCTCTACATAAAGCTACTACAATAATCTGCTTTTCAGTTTCTTTCTTTATTTTGTTTTTAACTTATGCTTATGAATTACCTGTACAACTTAAAATCAATATATTCCTTTCCCATCAAATATATATTTTTTTATAATTTAAGAATTTATAAATAATTTTTATATTTACTTATATCACCTTTAGACAAAAATAAAGAGGAAATTTTAATGATAGAGTAAAAATTAAAATTAAGGAATAATAACATAACTAACTTATTAAAGTAAGAAAAAAATATATTTTTCTCTTCCAAAATGTTTGAGTCCCAAAAACAACCATTATCTCAATCGCAGCCAAAACAAATGTTAGATTAGGAGCTTTAGCTCACATTAAAACTATAATGTCTAATGCACAAAAAAAAATTGTTTACTTAATTTTATATTTAAGATATTCAATTTCAATTATTTAATTTTCAAATATCTTTTAATGTATTTATTTTTATTTTATAATTGTTTTAAAAGATAATTACAATATATATTAAATAAAAAATTTTATTTAAATAATATTGAAGTAAAAATAAATACCAAATTTTATTAATGAATTATTACAATTACTATCTAATCTCACAATCACAATTCACTTCACGACGGCCTCGTCTAAACCAACAGCTATGTCTAAGAGCCGTGGGAACTCGGAAGCTGTTCAAGCCCAAGAGGATCAAAGACAAAGCCCAGAATATGAAGATTGTCCGAAATCCGACAACGAAATACTAAGAAGCCCAAAACGTGGAGGTCAAGCAAGCGAGTACGGTACATAAAATAATAATAATCCAACTCAACCAATGACATGTTTGTCGGGTGGGAGGAATTTGAATCCTTAAATAAGTTTTTAAATTCAAATTTTATGAATGAAATTATAAATATTAATAGAATTTTCTTAAATGAGTTGTATTGCGTTTCAATTCTAAATTATTTAGTATTTAATGCGGTTATTGAATTTCGAGATTTCAGTAAAAATAATAATAATAATCCAACTCAAAAGGGGGTGGGTGGCGGCGCGTGGCTTTCCATCTTTCAGTTGGTGAGGTGAGACTGAGACAATCATCATTCATAAAACAACAGAGTTTTCCTGTTTTTCATTGTCTTTCTCCAAATTCTCCGAGATAAGGTTAGATTTCCATGGACGATTCTCTCCTCTTTCCTCCCAATTCATCCTGTTTTAATATGTTCTTGAATTTCCCATCTTCGGGTGGATAATCAATTTTTATGCTTTTTTTTTGTTAATTGGAATTTCATGGTGTTATGTTGCAGAGAGAGTGCGGAATTAAGCTTTAAGTTGATCTGAATTTAATGGCTTCGACGATGCTCAATGCTCCTTCTATAGTTCCTTCCATTAAGGGGTTTGATACCCAGAAGTTTTTTTGTCTTAGATCCACCTCCAATTTGAGGTTCAATGTCGTTAAGGGCCGCCGGCAGCGGCTTTTTGTGGTGAGGGCAAGTGAAAGTCGTGATGGGCATGTAAAGAAGATGGGACTGAGTGATGCAGAATGCGAGGCTGCTGTTGTGGCTGGGAATGTGCCTGAAGCACCTCCTGTTCCGCCCACTCCTGCTGCGCCTGCTGGAACTCCCGTCATCCAACCTCTTGTGAGTGTTTGAATTTTAAATCATAGTGTGCAATTGGGTTTTTGCCTACTGTTTAAGTGTTGGTATTCATGGTGAATGCTTCTCCCTCTTTTTTTTCTTTTTTTTTTTTTAGCAACTCAATCGGCGCCCTCGTCGGAACCGCAAGTCCCCTGCTTTAAGAGCTTCTTTCCAAGAAACAAATCTATCTCCTGCAAATTTTGTATATCCACTTTTTATTCATGAAGGTCACTTTCACCATGTCTATTTCTTTTTCAGTTAAATTTTCTCTCAATTCCAAGTTATTAATTGTACTTTTATCTTTCTCTCAATTGATTTTATATATGCATTTCCACAAACTTGCAGGTGAAGAGGACACACCTATTGGAGCTATGCCAGGATGTTATAGGCTTGGGTGGAGACATGGACTTGTTGAGGAGGTGATTTAGCTCTATTCCATTCTCTCTCCATTTTTACTGAAACACTCATTTTTATAAGCATCAAACTACATACCCGTTGTTATTGAACTTATAAGCATACCCCATATGGGATTCTGCTTTTGACCACATTGTATGCATTTACTCTTTATCAATGAATTGTGTAATTATAAGGTAAGCATTTATCAGTGCAGGTTGGAAAGGCTCGGGATGTTGGTGTTAATAGCATTGTGCTCTTTCCCAAAGTTCCAGATGGTTTGAAGGTTGTACTTCTCCTCGTAGGTTTCCTATTTTGTTGCATAGAGTGCTGTAATTAATTTGGTTTTTGCATCTTAGTCTCCCATAGGAGAAGAAGCCTACAACGACAATGGCTTGGTTCCTCGTGCAATACGTTTGCTCAAGGACAAATACCCTGATCTTGTAAGTTAAATTTGATTTACTTACCTGCTAGTCTTTACACCTTCTAATGGGGTTTGCATGGTAGTGTGCATTTTGTGTTGAAACGTGGTGGTCTCTTATTGAATTGGCAGGTTATCTACACAGATGTTGCTTTAGATCCATACTCCTCTGATGGGCATGATGGTATTGTCAGAGAAGATGGTAAGAGAGACACTTCACATGTGCTTATTCTGTCTATTATATTTTTGAGAAAGGTATTGTAGTATCTTATGTGTTAGAAATGCTGTATATTAATCACAAAACAGAATTGCACTACCTTAGTCTAAGATTTTGCTAAAAATGAATATAACTCAAGAGAGTTAGGCACATCTTATCTGAACTTCTTTCTGGTTTGCTGTATTTCCTAGAATTGCTGATTGTGATTTGTGTCTATCCTGCAGGAGTTATAATGAATGATGAGACAGTACATCAGTTATGCAAGCAAGCTGTTTCTCAGGTATAGCTTTTGTAGATAATTTGCAGTTAGTACTAATAGCTTTCAGCAAATATTTAATATCTCTAGTAGAGTTCTGAGACTATGACTACTGCTGAGGTTTTTCAGGATTTACTTATCGTGTTAGGTTAGTGAAGTTACTATTATGTCTCCTTCAAAATTTTTCAATGCCCTCCGGCCTCCTTTTTGCCTTTTGATTCTTGTCTCCTGTCTTTTTATTAAAAGGATTTTATATGCTTCAATTACTTGGAATATTAATTCTCTGGTAATGAAGTTTCAAAGGCTTACTTTTTTGAAAATTTCTGATGCTCATTCTATTTTCATCTTCTTTCCCCCTTGCATTCACTCCATGTTTCTATTACCTGATTGTTTGTTTATGCTTTTGATGGTGTTGTTTCTGGAAGGCCCGAGCTGGTGCTGATGTTATCAGTCCAAGTGACATGATGGATGGCCGTGTGGGAGCGATTCGTGCGGCTCTTGATGCTGAGGGCTTTCAACATGTTTCTATCATGTCTTACACAGCAAAGTAATGTGGTTTTAAAATTTCATATTTTCCCACAATAAATGATTGTGTTTCTAGAAACAATTCTGTCTTTTTTTGTCATCTTGTTGCAATCTATTATGAATTATTTTTTATGTTTTTTTATTTTTCTAAATGTTGCAAAACAGGTATGCTAGCTCATTTTATGGTCCTTTTCGAGAAGCACTAGACTCCAATCCACGTTTTGGAGACAAGAAAACGTAGGAATCCATCAAACTATTTATTATACCCTGTTGCTCCATCATGATTTTGGTGCTGATTTTTTTATTCACCTGGCTTGGTAAACCAAAGGTATCAGATGAACCCAGCAAATTACAGGGAGGCTTTGATCGAGGGTCGTGAAGATGAGGCTGAAGGAGCTGATATCCTTTTGGTCAGTATCTCTCCTTTATTAGGAACAGTGGACTCTTACTCATAATGCAGAACCTCCTTTATGCTGAAGTAACTTTAATGGTCACAGGTGAAACCTGGTCTTCCTTATTTGGATATCATAAGACTTCTCAGGGATAACTCTCCTCTGCCAATTGCGGCATATCAGGTAATTTTCATTACCCATTCTACCTCTCTTTATCGTCTTACTCTTTTTTATAATTTTAGTTCTTGAAAGAAAAGGTTTCCTTAACTGTTCTATACAGTAAGCCTTGATCAAAAGGTTTGCTTTAGATTACATTTTTTTATTTTTCATGCTCATATACTTTATCTAACTATTGATATGATGGCGTTAGTTCCCAAAAAAAAGAAAAAAATTATCAATATGATAAATATGAAAAAGCCTATAAAAGTTTATATAAACATCATAATCACTCTAATAAGGGTTGAAAATTAATGTCCCCTAGATAAGGTATTACTTGGAGGATATAATCTTATAACCATATAGGATTTTCCTCCTCCAGCTGTTGGCTGGCACAATGGCAGGAACTGAAAAATGCTAGAAAAAGATATAGAAAAACTACAAGAATGATTTAGCATGAAACAACCGGGATGTGTGACAGGAACAGCTTTCCTCTTTTTATAACATGAACCTACTAGACCGGCCCTTTTTTGTTCTGCTGACATTTTCCTAATAAACTTTATGGCATCTAGGTTTCTGGGGAATACTCAATGATCAAGGCTGGTGGGGTTCTCAAAATGATTGATGAAGAGAAGGTTATGATGGAATCTCTGATGTGCCTTCGGCGGGCTGGTGCTGACATCATCCTCACATATTTTGCTTTGCAAGCTGCTAGAAGTTTATGTGGTGAGAAGAATTGAGATTCATAAGGGAAATTGACTGATGCCGTTGTGTAGAAAGCCGTGTGAATTCCATCCCTTCCTCACAAGTATGTGTCATTAGAATAAGTTTAGAATTTGTTATTTGTCTGCTACGGCATTGTTATCCTCTCAATTATTGTTTTGCCATTCAGCGTTTGCTAAGAATCATGTTGAATATCATGTTTCTTTTGTAGATTTAAATTTTATCTGAGAGAGCTTTTGATACTTTCATGCATGGTTGTTCACTGCAGTCATGAGTTAGCATTGCCCTTTAAATAGAATTTGGTCTGTGATTTCTGTTTTATGCAATTTGATACTCGTAGAAAGCAATCTACTACTTAGAATACCGTTTACAGAGGATCCTTTACATGACCAGTGGAAAAATAGTGCACACCCCCAGGTACACCAAAATGAAGAGAGCATGCATGAGATTCGAAGCTTCCTGCATCCCAGTTTTGCAGGATAAACAAAGAGACGTAGCCCTCAACTCATCCACGCTCAATGAGGTATCTCTCTGCAATCGCTGCATGAACTGCAGCACCAATGGGGAGAACATCTTCGTCAATCATGAAGTAGGGGGAGTGGCCTGTGACCGTCGACCCTAGTGTCTCATTCCTTACGCCAATGTAGAAGAAGGCTGCAGGAACCACCTCTGAATAAAAGGAGAAGTCCTCGGCACCCATCATGGGTGGAACCACCCTGAAATTTGAAGAACCCAACAATTCAGTTGCCACGTTCTTCACATGCCCGTACATATCATCGTCATTGACCGTTGGTGGGTAGATAGTGGACTCCTTTTCGAAGAAGTCGACTGTTGCCGTGCATCTGAAAACACTGGCCTGTTCCACAATCACCTGCTTGAGGTAAGGCAGAAAACTGAATGAATTAATCAGGTGAGGAATGAAGATTCCACCACAATGAGATGAGGGGCCTGGAACAAACCTCTTCAATCCTTTGAAGAAGTTGATAGAAACTTGAATTGGAGAAAGCCCTAAAGGTACCTCCAATGACCACTGTGTCGGGTGTGATATCAAGATTGTTACCCCCATTGAATGAGGTTACAGACACAACCTGCCACATTTCAGAAACATAAAAAGAAGAATGAGGTCTTCTTCATTCTTTCTGGAAACCATAATGCTTCAGCCTGTTCTGGATGGAATTACAAAAGTGGATTGAGACTGACCTGCGAGTCGAGAGGATTTGCCTCGCGGGATACGATTCCCTGTAAGCTAATTACAGCAGCCGAGGCAGCCAAAACGGGGTCAACGGAGTGGTGAGGGTTCCCAGCGCGGCCCTGTTTTCCACTGACGACGGCTCTGAAAATGCCGCAGCCAGCGAGTAGGGGACCAGGTCTTGAGCCAATGATACCCGTGGGGTGCTCATGGGATACATGGACTGCAAATATAGCCTCCACATTCTCCAGTGCCCCATCTCCCATCATTCTTTTAGCACCATTTCCTGCTTCCTCTGCTGGCTGGAATAGCAGAATCACAGTTCCCTGTTACACCATAGGTCTAATTCAGCAAGTTTACCATAATTTCAGTTCTTTCTCCGCACCAAACCTAACTAGTTTAAATCTTCAATTTTAAAAGTTTGAATCTCCTACACTTGAGAGTTGAAGATTCTAGGTTCGAATTATACAGCATGTAAGTTGAATCAGCAAAGGGACGAGAATGTGTCAACTTTCACTTTTGTAAATTTTCCTTCAATTTGACTAGGGTTAAATTTAATCACTTGGGTTGGTCAGTGCAAAGACAAAACTAATAATTTCAATAAAAAGGTGGTTTTATGAAACATGTGGCATATGCCCTCTGTTTTACTTAAAAAGGTTAAATTTTTAATTTGATCCCTGAACTATTGGACGAATCTTTGATTTGATTTATGAACTAAAAAAATCTCGAATTTGATCCTTAAAGTATTGTACAGACTCCAATTTAATCACTACTATTTATCAGTTTGCCCCAAGTTGACATTTTTATACAAAAAAAATTAACATATCCGTTACTTAACAGTGAAAAATAATAACTTAATAATGAAAAACAGTAATTTAACGGTCACGTATCATGTTAATAACAAGACACATCAGTTGGTTTTTGTACGAAAAGACCAACTTGAAGCAAATTGATAAATGATAGGGACCAAATTAGTGATTTTTTCAGTTTAAAGACCAAATCAAAAATCTATATAATAGTTCATGGACCAAATTGAGAATTTAACCTATTAAAAAAGGATTTAAGTTCGCCTTTCAATTCTTTTATGCGAAAGATTCCTATATGCATCAACCACTGACATGTTTTCTGGAACAGAAAAGACAAGCACTAATTTTAAAATCCAAGGGTGCAAAATTGACCTGTGTCTTGGCACTACTTTGAAGAAGAATATATTCTATGCACGTTTTTATAAATAAAAACTAATTATATTAAAAGAGATTCTTGTAGTTTAATAGTCATCTTGTTCTTGTAAAACTGATTTTTTATGCTATAACTTGAAGGTATAAGATTTGATTTTTACTTAAAATGTTGAAAAAAAAAAACTAATTATATTGATAAAATAACCAAAGTTCTTTCATACCATTAGATTAGATTGGTTTGGATTTAAGTAACTCGTGAACTGCTCGATTTAAATTCGGCTATGAAGGATTGGTGTAAGTTTTCTGATTTGGATGGTACAAAAACGAACCGACAGAAAAGGATACCAGTACCCACTACCATGTGCAAAGAGAAGGAGCTTGGCCAATTTAATTCTTGTGGGAGGGTCTACTGCCCTTTTGGTGTCTCACTCAAAAAATAACAAACATTTTCGAAGAATGCATGATTTACTCACAATCACGATCCAGACAAGTTCTAACCCTGTTCAGCAAATTCAAGATTTTCATGATGTCTAGACACAAAATGCTAGAAAGTTGCTTCGCTTTTAACATAATCTACTTTCTTTGTGGATGTAAAAATTTTTGCTAAAATTAGAAGAGAAAAACTCCAAAAAATCAGCATTTTGAATTGAAGACATGACATGACCAAAACCTAAAAACTCGAGAAGATATAAGCCAAGTACACGAGACAAGATGTGGTGGAAATTCATCCAAGGACAGAAGAATGGAGGTTGGCTCAGAGCCTCATTTATACCCAATCCCTACACTTTATGGGCACAGTTTGTTCCCACACAATCGATACTATTTCTGAACCCTGAAACAGTACCATTTTCCTGCTTTGCATTTAAACGTTGGATTTAAATTCTCAACTGATCTAAAATCAAGAATTTATTGTGATCAGAATAATAAAAATTTAGGTAAATTAGTATTTATTAATTCAAAAACTTTAGTTTTAGGGGAGGAGAACCAGGATTAAGGTTATGTGGAGACTGGAGAGTAGAAAGCAAACCTTCAAAAAGTGCTCTCGAGCCTTCAATATTTTGGCTGCACCCACAAGCATGGCGACATGAGCATCATGCCCACAAGCATGCATTTTCCCAGCTACTTTGCTCTTGTGCTTCCATTCTACAGCTTCCTACAATAAATTACTCCAACATTACTCATAATTCAGTAATAAATATGCTATCCAGCAGTTAAAGAAAAAAAAAAAACTATTATATATGGTCCCAATACAAATAAACTTTTCATTCATTAAAAACTAGGAAACTCAACTTTTTATAATTTATTGTACTTTTTATTGTACTTTTTGTATCTATCTCACATGTGACCACGTAGGAAAAACAGAATATGACGTAAAAACCTCGGATCTGTAATTTTTATTGTATCATTCATATTATAAAGTAAAAAAAACAAAAAACAAAA